GGGGATTGAACTCAGGTCCTTGTGCTTGCCAGGGAAGCGCTTATTCTACTGAGCCACCTCCCTGGCCCCTTAAAGTTAATTTAAAAAAATTTAGTATTTACTTCCTTTTGATGAAGCTACCTCCAGCAAAAGGTATACCTCATTTTTGAAGATACATAACTCTTTTACAGTTACATTAAATACAAGGAACTATTTTATGTTATTCAATAGTCAAGTGGGCCCATAGTACTCTGTATTTGAACTTTATGTTCATAATACCTCTTAAATTTATAGTGAACACTCCCTTGGTGCATTATGGTTTCTGGTACAGTATTTATCTCTTTTATCACTGTAGAAACCTGACTGCTTTTAACTGCTGTCTGTTGGCATCCTGCTTGTCGTCGAATATCATTTCATAGAAATTTCTTGTGATAATAAGTAGTGGAATTTTAAGTTTACACTCATAATTTCCTCTTTCTATTTCAGTGAAGATCTTAGACGTTGGTTCATTCAACAAGAAATGGATCTCCTTCGATTTCGATTTGGTATTTTACCGAAGGACAAAATTCAGAATTTCTTAAAGGATAGCCATTTGCACTTTGAGGCTGTAAGTATATTTTTGTCACTTTTTTTTTTTTTTTTGCAGAACTGGGGATTGATCTCAGACCCTTGTGCTTGCCAGGGAAGCATTTATTCTACTGAGCAGGCTCCCCAGCCCCTTTTGTCACTATTTCTAGTTGCTTTCACCTTTACTCTTTCCCTTTTGTGTTAAGTTCTGATGCTAATGTGTGGAGTTCATTTTCTTTATTTTTTAATTTTATTTTATTTTTTGTATTTTGGGGAAGGGTCTACAAGGTGTTCAGGGTCTCACTACTATATCAGACTAGTAGTGATCTACCTGTTTATAGCCTCCCAAGAGCTGGGATTACAGTCGTGCGTGCGCCACTATGTCCAGTCTCAATTGCTATCTCAGCACACCCTTGGGGGCGGGGCCGGCACAGCAGGCCTGGGGATTAAACTCCTGGCCCCTGTGCCTGCTTGCAGGTGCTTTAATCCGCTGAGCTATTAGGCCAGCCATTCATTTTCTTTACATTCTTAGGTTTTTACCTGAAAGAATAGCTAATAGCTTTGCCCTTAAGTGTATTGATTTACAATAATGAAGTTTAAAGGGTGTACCACTGTTAAAAGTCAGTTGTGAGTAAAATCTAACAATAGTTTTCCAAGTTACTTTTTTGTAGGCAAATCTGAGCGATTTACATATGGTAATTATATGCAAAAGAAGAAATGTTCAGAATATTTATCATAGATAGTGGCCGGAAATAGAATCTGTGTGTTTTATATGGATCTATGTTATCTGGAAAAGTAGAAAAATTCTATTTTCGGCCTGGGTGTGGTAGTGCATGACTGTAATTGCAGCACTTGGGAGGCTGAGCCAGGAGTGTTCAAGGCCAGTCTAAAATGCGTAATGAAACCCTGTCTTAAAAAAAAAAATTCTATTTTGGAAGAATCAAAGCCGTTCAGTGGTGGTGGGACTGGTTAGACTCTGGTGTTTCAGTGGATGGTTTGAGGCCAAATAAAAAGTTAAGACATCAGAGTCAGTGCAGACATTTGTCTTGCATTGTATTGACTGCAGCGAGGAACACTATGACTTACATGAGACATTGCATGAAGGTGTGAGCAAATGTGTCAAGACATGTATTATCTGTTACGTGTTAGGAGCTGCTTTCTTTAGTTCTCTCATTTCCTTCCTGTAAGCGTCCTTTGTGAGCTTTCTAAATAAACTCTTCTGAGCTAGGTACAGTTGTTGGGCACGGGATCCTCTGACCCAAACCTACCGTGTCTTCACTTGCTGCTGGGTTTGATCTTTTGTGAAGTCTATTACTGTTAGTATCAGTTCCATTTAGCTTGTACTTTCATATTAGGAAAAATGTGCTGAGCTCTTCCACTGGAGATTTCCTACACTCTTGGGATATGATTCTTTGGGTGATTCATCACAAAATAATCTTATAAAATATGTGTCCTGTATTATATTGTTCCCCTTGCAAAACCCCAAACTATGACACCCTAGTGGGACTTCCAGGGAGAACAACCCAAAGGTACTGTACTTCTATAAGAGTACTAAATTTTTTTGTCTCTTTTGCAGAAGTCTTAATGCCTTCTGTCAGGATTCCATAAACCATGTAGACTAACTTCTTGGATTATAGGTAGGGTGTCTTAGTCCTTTTTCTGTGGCTATGACAGAATTCCTAAGACTAGGTAGTTACTTTATTTTTTATCTTTTGTCTTTTTTTTTCCCCATAATTTTTATTGAGAAACAAATAGCAGTGAGACAGTTTCAAACCAAATTGGTAGGACAGTTTCAATAATTAACACATTGCATACATTCTTCCTATCTTTTGTCTTTTTGAGACAGGGTCTCACCATGCAGCTCAGGCTGGCCTTGAGCTCACTTTGAGGCCAAGGCTGGTCTCAAAATCACAATGATCCTCTTGCCTCAGCCTCCCAAGTGCTGGGATTGCATTACAGGCATGTGCCGCCACATCCGACCAATTAGGTAGTTATTAAACAGAAGAGGTTATGGTTTATTTAGGTCATAATGCTGGAGACTCAGAAATTCAAAATTAGGATGTTGTATCTGGTAAGGGTTCTTTTTTTTTTTTTGGTGGAACCGGGGATTGAACTCAGGCCCCTGCGCTTGCAAGGGAAGCGCTTATTCCACCGAGCCATCTCCCCGGCCCCAAAGAACTGAGCTAGGGCCAGGCCCCCTCTGGTAAGGGTTCTAACATGGCTAAAGAACAGAAGGAAAGGTGAGCAAATGTAGAAAAAAGATGGAATGGCAAGTGTGTTTTATAATTACTTGCTGTCTTTTTAAAATTTTTTATTTTATTGAGAAACAAAAATCAATGAGACAGTTTCCAAACTGATTAATGGGACAGTTTCAATAATTAATACATTGTACATTGTTATCTTCTTAGTGGTTATCAGTAGTACAAGATGCAGACATGATATCCTGTCCAAACACTATTAGTACAAATCTTTCTTCTCACTGAATTAAGTGAAAGTAGCTGTATATCTATACTAACTATTCTGCATATACAGATACAAAATAGTCCTTCCTTTGTATCCCCTTTTTTTGTTTAGTCCTGTCAGAAATGGGTATTCCATTGGCAATTTGCTTGTTGTTAATTTTTTTTTTTTTTTTTCAGTATTGGGGGTTGGACCCAGGTCTTTCACCCTGACCTACTTGCCCAGCCCATTATTTAATTTTATTTATTTATTGGCACTGGTGATCAAACTCAGGACCTTGTACTTCCCCAGGAGAAATTTATGCCACTGAGCTATGTCCTCGGCCCTAAATTTCTTAAATTTTTGAGATCTACGCCTTCAGCACTCTTCTGGAAATTTCAGATCTGAAAGAACTAGGGGAAGGATTAATAGCCACATGAAGTGTGTTAAAGAAGAAGATTATTAATAAGACTTGTCAGAGACAGTAGGGAAGACTACTCAAAGGGGAGTACTATAGTAAGGTTTTGTGATAGGGCAGAAAGTTGAACTCAATTCTGAGTATGACAGGAAAAATGGGAATTTATAGCCAAGGAGCATGGTAACATGTTAGCATATAGAAAATTATAAAGAGATGGGGTAATTCTTTGCACACTTCACCTAGGGATTTTTTGGTGATGAAAGACTAGTAAGATACTGAAAATGATCAGATGAAGAAGGGTGAAGCGTTTTCCCTACATAGATCACAGGATTCTTGCCTAAACTGACTAATCAAGGCCATCAAAAAGGTGATTCACAAGCTTGAATAGACTTTGGTTAAAGAATGAGTCCTTGTCAAGAGTCACACTTGTCTTCTAAGTGAGGAAGTAAATTTTTTGTATTTATAAAGATTGGGTCAAGTAAATGATGGTTCAAAGCATGGTGCTCTATAGTGTATTAATCCGGAATTCCTGGAGAAAGTGGTAACATTTCAAAGATTTATCTCCAGTTTGTTTTGTGAACACTAAAACATCTTTAAAGTGAGTAATGTGAAAACCTTTTTCAGGTTAGATTTCTAAGGTATATATATGTTCTATATGAAATGAGCCTTTCATAAAATTGGACAGTTTTTTCCCCATAATTTTATTGAGAAACAAATAGCAGTGAGACAGTTTCAATAATTAATACATTGCTTATTGTTTTCTTAGTGGTTATTCATTGTACAAGATGCAGACTTGATAATCCTATTTACAAACACTTTTAGAACAAATCTTTCTGTTCATTGAGTTAAGAGAATATAGCTATATATCTATCCTATTTTGACTATACAAATACAAAATAGTCATTCATTTGTATGCTCTTTTTTTGTTTAGTTTTGTCATTTAAATATTATAGGTGTATGAATTCAGCAAGATATTCCAAAATAGTTCAGTACTCCATAATAGTAGTGGGTTTTCTCTATGACTGGCAGTGTCAGAAGTTGTTGACTTGAGCCTATTACAGTTCAGCATATTAATATGGCTTTACTCTTTATACCTTGTTTTTGTACTTTTCTGCTGGATGGTTAAGAACAAGACAAAGCAAGACCAATATAACAAGAATTGTAGCTTTCGTATCTCATAAGGTCAGTCATATCCCCTCAGGATTTATCCTGAAACCCTGTACCGCACTTTGTAGATCCTTTGTTAGTGTCAGCCATGTGGATGAGTCATGGCCATTGCTTGACCAATTTGCTCTCTGTGAAAGCCTGAGAGAATGTTTTCTCTCCATGTGACTCCTTAGGCACATTCTACAACATCGATCACTTTCCTCTGTGACCCCATAATCTCGTTGATCAGAAAATTTGGGACACAACTGAGTTACATGGTGTTACAATACAGGTTTTCCTATGTCCTGAGTTTTCACTGACCTTGGAAGGCTAGGGCCAAAATGTTGGCTGTCCTTGTGGCCCTCCTTTGTGTTCTGTATATAACTAGAAAAATTTTTGATTTAAATGGAGCTCTTTAAATGTTCGTTACCACTGCATACCTTTGGTTGCTTTTTGGAGAAGCATAGGTATTCTCATAGTGCGTCCTTCTATACTTATGTTCTCATGGTGATTTTGACATCAAATAATTATGGAAGCCAACTTTGTGTATTTTATGTGTGTTGATCAGCTATAGTAAATGTTGGTATATTTTCTGTTTGGAATATGGGGAACATGTTTGTTGAATTTTCAGTTAATTGAAGCCTAGCTTATTTATATGTATCATTGCGAAACACCACAGCAGATGGTCCTTCATAACAATATTGTAGAGTTCACAAAATTTGAATTTTCCTTATCAAGCTACAAAATTAGATTCTGCTCATTATAAGATAGTTTAAACCTAGAAACACTATGGCAAATATGAAACTTCATGCTGTATTACACTTGAAGGCTAAAATTAACATATGCAAACATTTTCAAAATAACTTGTGAAAATCATTTCTCTTTTTTAAAGTTTTCATGTAGCTTTTGATTGTGGAATGTCTTATATTCTCATTATTTGATTATTCTTTATGCCTGTGACTTTGCCCTTGAAAAAAAGTATGAATTTAAATTAACTGAAGTTTCCCACACATAAAAATATTTTATAATGTTATGTA